TCTTTTTTGGGGTATAGGAAAGTTCATTGCTCTGTAGGGCTGGGAGGATCATCTTAACCGAAGCTGGGCCTGCCCTTTTTCATCACAAGTAGAAACTAGCATCCATTTGTTGTTTTCCCCTTTTGATTGTCAAGTTTTGTCTGTCTCTGAATGTTCTCCGGAGAGGGCCATCCATACATGATACAGACTGGGAAGGAGCTTGCTAGGCTACTGTGGAGATCTGGGGCTTGTTTGAGCTCTTCTGCCCCATGAAGGGTTTCTTTCCATCTGAGGTCTGTCGCTAAATGTTCTACGGAGAGGGACATCCATACATGATACAGACTGGGGAGGGAGCTTGCTAGGCTACTGTGGAGATCTGGGACTTGTTTCAGCTCTTATGCCCCATGAAGGGTTTCTTTCCATCTGAGTCTTGTAAAGAGTCTCAACTCAGTTCATTCAATCCACAGTCATGGCTTCAAGTTGAAAGAGGGAAGCTTTCCAAGTTCGGTTCACATCCTTTTGATTCATCCATGTAAGTATTCTTTTTTCTTTCTATTTTATCCCTTCTGAAATGGTTCTTATGTGGGTGCGATGTTCAATAAATTGGGATGGTCTTGTTTTCCCCCTTATTGCCCTTTGGTTGTAGAGAATCACTTATCAAGATCCCTGAACCGCCCGTGCTCCCATTCTTCAAACCTGTTGATTATGTGCAAGTTTTAGCTGAGATTCATGAAGAACTTGAATCATGCCCCAAAAATGATAGGTCGAATCTGTATTTATTACAATATGAGGTCTTTAGAGGCCTTGGGGAAGTCAAGTTAATGCGAAGAAGCCTCCGTTCAGCTTGGCAGAAGGCTAATTCTGTTCATGAGAAGATTGTATTTGGGGCATGGCTGAAGTACGAAAAGCAAGGGGAGGAAGTTATTGCTGATTCCCTTGCAACTTGTGGGAAGTGTGCTGAAGAGTTCGGACCAGTAGACATTCCTGTGCAGCTTGATCTTGATGCTAGTTTGTTGGGGTCTCAGGAGACTTTGCTGTTGGTGACAAGTGATCACGTCCTGAAAAACGTCACTTTCAGAATTGGAGATAACAGAATTGTTTGTGACAGGCAGAGAATTGCTCGCCTTTCTGCTCCATTTAATGCTATGCTGAATGGGTGTTTCTCAGAATCACTTCGGGACGATATAGATTTATCTGAGAACAATATATCTGCTTCGGGCTTCATAGCAGTAAGCCGGTTCAGCACAACTGGGAATCTGAATGAAGTTTCTTCGAATATTTTGTTGGAAATCTTGGTTTTTGCAAACAAGTTCTGTTGTGAAAAGCTCAAAGATGCATGTGACAGGAAACTGGCGTTGTTAATAACATCAAGAGATGATGCTGTGGAACTCATGGAATATGCTCTTGAAGAGAACGCCCCTGTTCTTGCTGCCTCGTGTCTACAGCAGTTTTTAAGAGAGCTACCCAATTGTTTGGATGACGATCGCGTGGTTGAAATATTCGTTAGTGCCAACAAGCAAGAGAGACAAATCATGGTAGGATCAGCTGCATTTCCACTGTATTGTCTATTAAGTGAAGTTGCTATGAGTGTTGATTCTCACTCTGATAAAACAGCTTATTTCCTGGAACAATTGGTTAACTCAGCCGAATGTGACAGGCAGAAAATGCTGGCTTTTCATCAGTTAGGATGTGTGAGGCTCTTGAGGAAAGAGTACGATGAAGCCGAATGTCTTTTTGAAACTGCTTTGAATCTAGGCCACACATACTCTGTGTCAGGTCTGGCTAGACTTGTTTACATCAGGGGTCATCAAGATTTGGCATATGACAAGCTTAGCTTGGTTATTTCTTCCTCTCTTCATCCGCTAGGGTGGATGTACCAAGAAAGATCATTGTACTGCGAAGGTAGTCAGAAGGTAGAAGACCTTGAGAAAGCAACCGAGTTGGATCCAACTCTTACTTACCCCTACATGTTCCGTGCTGCTTCATTGATGAGAAATCAGAATGTTCAAGCTGCACTAGGAGAGATCAATAGGGTCCTTGGGTTCAAACTTGCGTTGGAATGCTTAGAACTTCGCTTTTGCTTTTATCTCGCTCTCGAGGATTACCGGGCAGCACTTTGTGATATTCAGGCTATTCTTACACTCTCACCTGATTATAGAATGTTTGAAGGACGGGTTGCAGCGTCCCAACTTCGCATCCTTGTCCGTGAACATGTTGAGAATTGGACAGCAGCAGATTGTTGGCTGCAATTGTATGATAGGTGGTCTTCTGTTGATGACATAGGATCCCTTTCTGTTATATACCAGATGCTTGAATCAGATGCACTGAAAGGCGTTCTGTATTTCAGACAATCTTTGCTTCTTCTCAGGTATGTTTATAACTTTGAATTGTGTACCTACATTATAGTCTCAGGAATTTTTTTCTTCACCTCTCCGATCATCTATTTTTGGCTTGTGGTGCCTTTATGAGGTGGACTATGGATTTTCCCCTATGAATGACATGGAGTAGAATTTTAGCTGCTCCTTTTGATAGATAGCGAATGCCACGAGAATGTATTCTCTATATGCAACCTATTAACATGGTATTTCTTCTAAGATGGGGATGGCCAGTGAATGGTGATGTTTGGAAAGCCTCACGTTTGCTAGTTCCCTCTATATACATATTTTCCTTAATATAGTTTTTTTCTTTTGCTGTTTGGAACATGATCTCAATTCTATGTGTTGTCATATCTTCATGGAAATTAATCAGGTTGAACTGTCCTAAAGCAGCAATGCGAAGTCTACAATTAGCTCGTCAACATGCATCGACAGTGCATGAGCGTTTGGTGTATGAAGGATGGATACTGTATGATACTGGTCACTGTGAGGAAGGGCTTCAAAAAGCAGAAGAATCTATTAGAATCAAGAGATCTTTTGAAGCTTTTTTCCTTAAAGCCTATGCACTGGCTGACTCTAGCCTTGATGTGTCATGTTCTTCAACTGTTATTTCACTCCTCGAAGATGCTTTGAAATGTCCCTCGGACAGACTGCGTAAAGGCCAGGTATTCGGTTTTTTTGTGCCTGAAGGTTCTTCGTTGAAATATTCTTGTATTTCCCGGATTTGCTACGCATGATATCCACTGCACGATGTGATTGGAGAGTGTTAACGTTTCATCTGTCACCCAAGTTAGGTTATGATACTAATATGCTATTTTTTTCAATAGCATGGTATTATTTATTTTTTATGCTATTCTGTGAGATGTACTTGCAAAAACACTCTTTGGTTTTGTGCATTTGTGCAGAAAAATGAGTGAAAAATGATGCTTGGGAGCCACTTATGTAGAGTGCATTTTTATACTACTTGCTAATCTTTATCCTCCATGTATTTGAAATTGGGTCATTTTGATATTACATTTTGAAATTTTAAACACATCCAATTACATCAAAAGTGTCAACAGACAACGATAAATTTGTTCTTTTAGCATGCTATTGCAAATATCACCCTCTCATATTCACCCTACCTACATATCTGTTATAGAAAATTTAGACTCGGGGTGGAAAGAATAAACTGAGGAGCTAAAGTTCTATCTGGTTTATGAATGGGATCATAACTTTTTTTGTAGGTATAAGGAGGTTTAGCTGTTTCTCTCATCTGTTACCTAAGTTCGGTTCAGTGATATTAATACTTACAACTTCAGACTTGGCATAGCAAAATAAAGTAGGCAGTTAATAATGTTTTAGCTAAATATGAATGGCTTGAAACAGATTTCCCGATCTGCTGCAATGAATTTGTCATTTGATGACTAAATGCTTCATCTCTTTGGCAGGCACTTAACAATCTAGGCAGTGTCTATGTTGATTGTGGGAAGCTAGACTCTGCAGCTGATTGCTATATCAATGCATTGAAAATCAGGCACACCAGGGCACATCAGGGCCTTGCCCGTGTCCATTATCTAAGAAACGACAAGGCAGCTGCATATGAGGAAATGACCAAACTGATAGAGAAAGCTCGGAACAATGCTTCTGCATATGAGAAGAGGTCTGAGTACTGTGATCGTGACCTGACCAAGGTTGATCTGGAGATGGTAACAAAACTAGACCCACTTCGTGTATACCCCTACAGATACAGAGCTGCAGGTCAGATAGTCATCTTCTTCACTCCTCTGAATATCTCTGCCTTGTCTATCCTCCCATAATGCTATTTAACAAACATTCACTGTACTTTGATTTTTAACAAATACGTCACTTTGCTGTAGTTTGGACAGATCCATGATCAATATGTTGGTTAGTCGCTTTTAGTCCCTCGATCAAAACTTCCATCAGAATTTAGTTGTAGTTTGGATCCATGAGTAGTCAAAGCGTCTTAGATGACTCACATGTCACTTTTGCTGAAAGGTGATCTTTTCGTCCCCCAATTCAGTTCTTAAGCCCAACATCTCTCATTCTTTCTCTTACGGATACATCTGTCATTTGGGAGATGAAGGGGGTGTAAAAGATGCATTTCTTGCTTACCGTGACATGCAAGTTATCAAGATATGATGGGTCGGCCTCATTGGTGATGTGAATTTTGATGAAATTCAATGACTTGTTTTCTTATAATTTATATTAGAAGGATGTATTTCTTAAAATGACAGCAGATCTGCACATGTACTAAAAATGCAATAAGTCCTTCGTTTTTCTTTTTATTCCTAGGATTGTTCTGCTGCTATTCGTTTCAGCAGCAATCGGTGCTGGAGTTTGCAATGCTTTTAGGCTGCGAAACCGTTGTTGGGTCTGAGCCTGACCTTGAAATTTGGTTTTTTGATGAAAGCAGTGTTAATGGACAGCCAAAAGGAGAAAGAGGCTATTGAAGAGCTGTCAAGGGCAATTGCTTTCAAAGCCGACCTCCATCTCCTACACTTGAGGGCAGCATTCCATGAGCACATTGGGGACGTCACAGGGGCCCTACGAGACTGTCGAGCAGCTCTCTCTGTGGACCCGAACCATCAAGAAATGCTCGAGCTTCATAGCCGCGTAAACAGCCACGAGCCTTGAAAGTTGAACCCCCATTCGAAATGATGCTGAAGCCCCCTCTCTCTTTGTCCAGAGGCATACAGTTTAAGAAGGTTTGTACTATTGTATACTACCAAGTCTCATCATGCATGTAACATTCCGTCTGATAGCAATTCTTTTGGTTTCTTTTGTAATTTAATTAGAGATGTTACATCTTTTTGTAACTTAGTAGGCAGGTCAATGGCAAAAATCAATATCAATCTGTGGCCGCGTTTTGTTTTTTCTCTATCCTCCAAGCAGCAGCCGACATGCATTATCATCGTGTTCAAGCGACGAGCATATACGCAACTTGTCAACACACTCTGCATCCATCTATTGAGATTGAACAACAGCTGTATTTGACGTTAGTCTAACGCAAGGTAAATATTGGCAATTACGGGAACAAGACAGGACCCATAATTTTGGAGTATCACGTTCTAGGCTTGTAGGAAAGAGAGTAAAAGTTGTTACACAACTCCACTTACTTTTGATCTTGATTTTACTATAAAATTCATGGACCTTACAATTCTAGGCTACTCATTATTAAAAATTTTAAACTCTTTAAACTCTTACAATTTTAAGTATTTTAACGATTTAAAGTTCATGTTATATTGGTTGAATTTGGATAAAATCGAATCGAGTTAAATGGGTAAGAACAAATCTTTGGGTCATTTAGTGCATTTTTTTCTCCTTCTAGTCCACTAACATCATCTCGTTTTCTCTATATTAAGACTAATTTGCTACCATATAAGAAAACGTCAAAACATATCATATACAAAATGAATAAAATGTTAAGATTAATCGATAATGAACAAAATACTCGGACATCACACACAAAAACTTATAACCCATAATAATTTATATTCTCAAAGTAATTGTAAGTAATGATCTCCTATAGTGATTTGTTGTTGTGAGTAACTACTCTATAAGTTTAGATGCAAGTTAGTTGGGTTTATATTTGTGTTGAATTAGAACAATAATCATGAGAAACTATCACCTTAAGTGGTATGTGTAGGGATGGGCAGTGGGTGGGTCAACCACTAATTCCACCCGATTATAACCCATCTATTACGTGTTTAAGTAGATGTGGTGGGTGGGTGTGACTCATCCTTTTTCTTGCCCATTAAATTTCGATGGGTGACGGGTGGGTGGTGGATGACTCATTGATACGCAAAATCACTCAATATATTATGTCATTATCAACATTCTATGACAACACACTACCTTTTTCCATCTCAAAATTTTAATCGTGATTGATTCAATTAAATAAAAAAATATATTTTATTAGTTTTACTTGAATTACAACATAAATTATACGTCAGTTTTGTGAAAATACGATAACTATCCATAAAATATTTTTTGTTCACATTTGAGATAATTAGTGTTTGATTATGCAATAAATTACGTTAGTGGTTATCATTTTCTTGAATTTTGTCGACCAAGATCATGGGAGATAAAAAATTTGGTGAAGGGGAAGAACAAAGCACTTGAGAACTCTAAGTCGGTTTGGCGTAATCCGGACCTATCATAAAGGAAAGCTGTCGATTCAAGTATTGTCCGTCCCAAGGAGGACCAACAGAAGCAGACTGTTGAAGGAAGGGAAAAGATCATCCTCAAAGTGACGGGGTTTGGGACTCGCTTTATCGAGCGACACTTATAGAGGACAAGAAACTGGGAGGAAGAAGCCCTCGTGGCTTTCTGGTAACTAAATCTCCGAAGTTACATGCATATTGCTCGTGGTAAGGGGATGAATTTAGAGAGAAAACCTCATAATGCACCGGTGATACAGAGAAGTGATGCAGAAGCTCGTCTACATGGTCACAAGCAGCTGGTAATGGGAGGAAGGCAAGAGAGCAGGGCAGAAAAAGGTAGTGACAAGTGGATACTGTTGGATAAGAAGCAGCAGATGGTTAGTTCGATTGCTAAGACTGAGAGCTCAGACGATATGAGGTGGAACTTCGTGCATTCCACTAGGATGAATCAGGTGGATGATCAACATAAACAGAAGAGGAGTCGGAACCGAGAGACACAAATGCTTCTGGACTGCCAGAAAGTAGGGTCTAAAGACCTGAATTGTCAAATGGCTATTGAAGGACGAAGGAAGAAGAAGGATTCAGGCCAACCCACCAATGCGGCCGACATGATGGGACAGAGTCAGGAGGATGGCCGTGAGAGCACTGATTGGAAACTTAAAAAGGAAAAACGACACACAATCAGGATGAAGCGGTTTCATCCTGCGGTGGGTGCAAGCTTGGAGAAAAAGGTGGAAATGGAGGAGTTGGCTGCACACTTCAATGTTGACTCGGATGACCTCCTATCTTCCCCGTACTCACACCCAATGGAGGGATCTCATGTGATTTCGTATGGGATGGATTCCGAAGCCACTATATCAGAGGGAGTTGAGGATGACCCTTTTCTAGAGTTTGGTGATAACCAGTTCGAGCTGAAGAGTAGGAAGGCATCCCTGGAGCCGCAGTCTATTAGGGGGCCTCGTGAAGGAAGAGTTCGGCAGGCGGTGGAAGCCCTTGAAATAGAGGTCACTAATGTGGAGAAGAAAAGGAAGCCTTCAAGCGTGGGAACAGTCCAAGGAGGTAGTGTGAATAAGACCCTGGAGGTGTATGAATATGAGTCGAACCTGGAAAACCCAGAAATGGGTAATTGAAAGAGAACCTTTCATGAGGTGGGTGGTGACTAGAAAGATGACCCCACACCGAAGAAGCAATTTGAAGAGGAGGATCTCGATGATGAAATGGTAGAGGAAGCCAGCCATAAGTGGCCCAGATACTCTAGTCTTAGGCTAGATCAAGCTCTTTGTTCTCAGTCTTGGGCTGATCAATTCCTAGATACTCTAGTGAAGCATTTCGTGGATAAGGGATCTGATCACCGAGCCTTGTTATTGTTGTAATAGTCATACGCTCTTCCGATTTGATACTCGTTGGGTAGATAATCCAGAGGTACTGGATATGGTAACTTACGTGTGGAATGAACAAATTCACGGTTCCAAATGTACAGGCTCTGGATGTGTTCGAAACGCTTTCACCACCTCTTGTATGACTGGAGTAGGGCAGACACAACAAATTCCTTGTGGAATATCACAACCCTTTAGGTAGAGATAGATCGGGTAAAACTTGTCCACCTCCATAAACTAGGATGCTGATCTAAGTCGACAATGGGAGGTAGAGGAATTTTACTGCCATCAGAAATGTAGGGTAAAGTGGCTCAAGAAAGGTGATTAGAATACATCATACCCACCTGTTTGCCTCCAAGAATCATGTGGGGAATATGGTCACCTGTGTGGCTAACCTCCCAATTGATAGGACAGTAACGAATGCAATGAATGAGGTTTTGGACGCCGAAGCCTGGCCTCTTAAAATTTGGCAAACGGTCTTTTCGACTTGGTCCACACAAGCACATGGTTCGGACGAATTCACTGTTAAATTATTTCGATCATTTTGGGATACTATCGGGGAGTCAGTGGTCGATGTTGTTTGTTCCTTCTTTAGAACGGATCGAATGTTGTGAAGCTTCAATCACACTTGGCTGACTTTAATTACCAAAGTGGACAATGTGGAGATATGAGACAGTTGAGACCCATAAGTTTATGGCAATTCGTGTGTAGAATTATTGTCAAAATCATGTATGAACGGTTGGCCCAATTCCTGGCCGAGATTATTTCACCGGGGCAGAATGCTTTCATTCGAGAAAGACAGATTGTGGATAATGTCCTGCTTGGACACTAATTAATGCATTACCTTAAGATTAAAACTAATGGCATGAAGGGTTACACGACTCTGAAGGTTGATATGGAGAAGGCCTATGATAGAGTCGAGTGGCCCTTCCTACTCTAGGTTTTAGAAAAAAATTGGGTTTTGATATGAGATGGATAAGGTAGATCAAGGAGTGCCTGACTTCATCATTTTTCTTAGTCCTTATGAATGACACTTCATCTGGGTTCTTCCAATCAATGAGGGGACTTAAGCAAGGTTCTCCCGAAAAGCCATTGCGGAAGGGAAGCTAGTCGGGGTTAAGGTTGCCGCAGGGCTCCGCCTCTGTCTCATTTTTTCTTCGCAGACGATTCATACTTATTCGTCAGAGGATTGGTATAGGAATGCGAGAATCTGATTGAGGTCCTTAATGAGTATGACGATTAAGTGGTCAAGACATGCTTATCCAATTACTTGGTGCGGGGGAGATAGGGGCACAAGATAAACATTTGGGTCCTCCCACCTTGATTACGGAGTCTAAAATGGCCACGTTTCACTTTTTTGGAGGAAAAGCATTTACAAAGGCTCTAGGGTTGGTTACAGTGAACATTGTCGTGGGCGGAAAGGGAGACGTTGATTAAATCAGTTGCTTCTTCATTACCCTTTCATGTAATGTCTTGTTTCAAACTCCCAACGTCCTTCTATAGGATTTTGAATAAACATCTGGTCAGACTTTGGTGGGGTGGTCAGTCCCGTATCTGTTGGATATCCTGGAGAAACTTGTGCCACAGTAAACATGATGGGGCTGGGGTTTCGTCGTTCGAGCACTTAAATCAGGCCCTCTTGGCCAAAATTGGGTGGCGAATCCTTAACGAACCCCTATCCCTCCTGGCTAAAGTTTACAAAGGAAAGTACTTCCCTACATGGTCCTTCCTTACTGCTACTGCACATTCACGACCCTTTTGGGGCTGGCAAAGTATATGCACTGCTTAGTGGTAACAATGTCACACTAATCTATGAGAGCTAATTAACATGTAGTTCACATATAGAGAGATAAATATGGGTTGCACACTTAATTAATCTTAAATGATCATAAGGAAGAGGTAATAAAATATTGCATATGAGCCTAATACTGGGCTTACATAGTTACTATGTAGATTTAGTGCACCTTATGTTAATCAAACCCAAAAAAACTATGCTAATGGAACAATATCGATCATTCCCAAATTAATGAATTATGAATACATCTTTTGACTCTTAGGTTTTTGTAAACATAAAGAAAATCTTAATGCTCGACCTGTGGGAGTGTCATAAAACGATCTACCACTTTAAGAAATCGTTCTACTGCTTTCAGCAAGAGATCGACTGGTTCAGACAGACGATCTACCGGATGACACACTTACTTTTAACTTACACTGTTTTTGAAAGTTGTAGACAGCTTTTGGAAAATGGTATACGCTTCCGACAAACAATCTATCTTCTGACATACGATCGACCAGATGCATAATTACATTTTACTTGCGTTAAGAAAATATTGGACAATAGGATGCCTTTAATACAAATTGTTTCATAGTAATGCAACATCCAATCACCCGTGGGCAATAAAATCTCTATGAAGATTATTGGTCAAGACAATATGAAACAACACTTTCTTTAGCACTTCTGGAATAAGAACCCGCAAAATGTGACTTTTCAAGAAGGGGTAAATTGCAAGGTTGGTCACTGAGTTTACAAAACATGTTCATGTTTGGTCACTACAAATATTTAATTCCATTCGTGGTCACTAAAATTAGTTCAATAGTTCATGTTTGGTCACTCTCCGTTAGTCTCCGTTAACTTTTGCTGATGTGGCAGTCAACATTCATAATTGACCGTTAAATTAGTGACGTGGCTATAAAAAAATAATAAAAACATAAAATTTAATCTATAATAATTTCCACCTCATTATATATTCATTAATAAATAAATTAAAAACCTAATTTCTACTAACCTTTCTCTTCACCAGCTCCCCGTCTGAAACTCCCCATCGAAAAAACCCAGTTGGGAAAAAGGAGAAGAAAATGCAAGGCTTCATCGAATCGGTCAGGCGGTCGCTCGTCTTTCGTCCCGACGCAGAGAGCAGCAGCACCACGACGGAACTCAACGGCGGCGAAAGCCCTCCATTAACGGGGACTCGCCCATTGGTCGACAAGATCAATTCATGCATTCGGAAGTCGAGAATCTTCGGCAAACCTCCGTCTTCCCCTCCGCTTCCCATGGCCCCTCCGATCATGTACTGGTAAGGAGAGCTGTTCGGGTGCGACCCATTTGGGCAGGTCTATATGGGCATGAATCTGGATTTCGGAGAGCTTTTGGCTATCAAGCAGGTAAAGTTTGACAATCTAAAGTAAATTGGGCCCTAATCGCCCTAAACTAATCACCTAATCCTGCAATCTAATTCTTTTCCTTACCGGCTGCCTCACTTTGCTTCGTTTCTGAATCGGAAAATTTCGATTCCAACGACAATGGGGCGATGGCTGGCGGCCAGGAGCTGGAGACAACGATTGTCGGCGGGAACGGGAGACTTCGAAAAGAAAAGGCGATGCTAGATTTGGGTCAAATTTGGGTGCTCAGCTTCATTCAGTGCACTGCGTCCTCGCCGACGGGACAAGGAGATCGAATGGCGCCGATGGCGGAGACGGCCGCGGCGGCTGATTGATGGAGACGGCGGTGGACTGGAGACAGAGAGATGGCAGAGGCGACTTATGTTTCCTGAGGCGGAGCTGTAGCTGGAGGCGGCGATTGGCGACGGAAGTCGTTGATGTGATCGCTGACGGCGACTTGGAGTTTGAAGTTGACGGCCAGTGAAGTTCACGGCGGCGATGAAATGGGAGCCGCGGTTGCAGATGGCGACGGGGGATTTGACGAACAAGGGAGCCGGTTCAGGTTCTGGCCAAGTCGGAGACTTTGGTCTTCTTCGCTGGGACCGGCGCCTGGAGAGGACAACGACGATGAGTCCTCATCCGGCAATGAACAGAGAAGATAGCAGCGACGGTGATGTAAAGGCGGATTAGAAATTTTAGGTTTTTAATTTATTTTTAATGAATATGTAATGAGGTGGAAATTATCATAGATTAAATTTTATTTTATTATTATTTTTTAATAGCCACGTCACTAATTTAACGGTTAACTATAAATGTTGACTGCCACATCAGCAAAAATTAACGGAGACTAACGGAGAGTGACCAAACATGAACTATTGAACTAATCGTAGTGACCACAATTGAAATTAAATATTTGTAGTGACCAAACATAAACGTTTTTTGTAAAGTCAGTGACCAACCTTGCAATTTACCATTTCAAGAAGTCATCTATCTCTATGATGATTCACTCTAAACACGTTGAACTTCAATTTTTTTACAAGAACTCATCCATTTCGTTCCAAAATACATCTTGTCAGTTAGCGACTTAGCATTAAATTGTTTCTTATGCCCTATGAACCTCTCCTATATTGCACTTTGTTGATATGAGATTTGTCTACAATATTACAGTATTAATCAAATAGCATACTATAAATCACATGCTAGTATCATATGATTAAATCAAGATGCATGGTATTTTCCCCCAACATTTTAGGATGGAAAGACTTAGATAGATTGAAACTTAACCATAATTACGACCTTGATGTTGTCATTAGTAATAGGAAATTCGAGCTCGCAATTATCCTGAAGCTTCAAAAGAACATCGACCAAGTCATCCACCTCTCATATTTCAATATTTTCACTAAATTGGTTTACTATGATTCACTTAATTTTTAGAAAATTAATATAGTAAAAGCTTAATAGTTTTTGGCAAACACATTCTTATATCTCCTAGTTAATTAAGATTAGCAAAATTACTTTGATGGTACGGGATTGGAATCAACTTAAGATCATTTTTTCTCGTACTTGTCCCCCCGAAAGACTCATCCATGTCCAGATCTTGAGGCTTCATCCCACCAGCTAGCTTCCAATCAAAATGGTACAGAAACTTCGCCAATGGCAACTCAACGTTCGCCATTCCCAACAATAATCCTGGACACATCCTCCTCCCAGCGCCAAAGGGAAGGAACTCAAAATTTGCTCCCTTGAAATCAACTGAACTGCTGATAAACCTCTCTGGACGAAACTTCTCGGGATCCTTCCAGTACTTGGGATCCCTGCCGATGGCCCACACGTTCACGAGCACATAGCTCGCTGCCTTTATATGGAACCCATCGATCTCACAATCTTCGCTACATTGCCTTGGAACCAACAATGGCACCGGGGCATGTAGCCTCAGCGCCTCCTTAATCACCAGCTTCAAATAGCGCAACTCAGGAAGCATGCTCTCATCCACATCACCCTTTGATCCACAGACACTTCTTACCTCTTCTTGTACTTGTCGAAGAACTCTTGGATTCTTAACTAGCTCCGACATCACCCAGATTATAGTTGTCGAAGAAGTGTCACTCCCCGCTAAGAAGATATCCTAACCAAAAAAAAAAATCACAAGTTACAAATATTAAATTCATTTGTCGTCACTACATAGAAAAATCACATATTAGAACAACCAACGATCATGAAGATACATAATAAGTTTTAATATTAGAAGAACCAAAAAATATAAAAGCGATTCTACGTAGAAGCGTTCTGGTGGCCTAAAAATGTAAAAGCGTAACCTTTCAAATTTTAAAGCGTTATTTTAAAGTGGGATAGATTGAAACTTAACGAGAATGACGGCTTTGATGCTGTCATCGGTGAGCTGGAAGTCGAGCTGGCGATCAGCCTGAAGCTTTAAAAGAACATCCACCAAATCATCCACGTGATCATCACCGGCGGCCGCCGCCTCCGTCCTGCATCTTCTATGATCATCAATTATAGCCTCCAACAACCTACTAGCTTTACTTCTCAGCTTCAATAAATTCGACCTCATCCCGGTCACCACCGGAAGGAATTTCACCGCGGGGAAAAGATCCGCCAGGTTAAAACCTCCGATCACCTTGGTGATCTCATCAATCAGGGGAATGAACTCCTCCTGGCCGTCGTACTTCTTCCCGAAAGTGACCCTTGCGACGACGCCGTTTGTAAGGGAGAAGACCATCTCGCTGAAGTTGACCTCCTCCTCCCGCTGCCCGGCCGAGGCGGCGGCGGAGAAGATCCGGGCCACCGCATCGGACGCCTCTTCCTCCCGGGTCGACCCGAACAGCCGGACCCGCCTCGCGCTGAAGAGCTCCTGGACTGCGATCTTGCGGAGGTGGCGCCAGTAGGCGCCGTAAGGGGCGAAGCCGATGCCGGAGAAGTCGTAGCTCATGATTCGCGCGGAGAGCATGGCCGGGCGGTGGGCGAAAACGGCGTCGTGGGTCTTCATGGCTTGTTTTGCGGATTCCGCGGAGGAGATGACCACGTAAGGGACTTGGCCCAGCTGGAGTGACATCACGCTGCCGTGTTTTGCGGACAGGTCGCGGAGGAGGTAATGCGGGAGCGAGCTGCTGCCGGCGGCGATCTGGTGGAGGTTGCCGATGAAGGGAAGCTTTGTGGGTCCCGGCGGCGGTGTGGCGGTGGAGGTGTTTGATTGGCGGCGGCGTAGGAAGAGGAGGGTGCAGGAGGAGATGAGGAAGAGAAGGGTTGTGGCGAAGATTGCTGCAGGGAAAAAATGGGTTTGAGAGTAGGAGTGGTATTCCATGGCTTTGGGAGTGCAAAGGGTGTGAGAGGAAGTGAATGGTTATTTACCACTTACCAATGCATGATGTGTGGAACACCTTGTGCCTTTTTATGGAGGGTGAGGAAGGAATGCTTATACTAGTATAGTGGTATACGATTTATTATTGAACTTCCCACGATACTTGAGTTATTGGAACTAACTCGTTTTTTATATGGTATTCTCTTATTAAGAATTTCTGCATAGTATCTCTTGTGAGGTGGTATTAGATCTATATTGTTGAACTTCTCCCTATCGCTCGAGTTATTGGGGACTAAATAGTTCTTGGCAGATGTAAAGTGAGATTTCCCAGAGAGAGAAGGAAATCAATTCATTGTAAATCTTCTACTTTTTTTTTATTATATGTATTTTTTTTTTTGGCAAAGCCCTGTTGCTGATACTGTATGATAGGTAGGGGTGGACACGTGGATGGTTAATTCGCGACTGACATCAACTTGAGTAACTCAAATCGTATAGTAGGTAGATGATTAATGTAGGTGGGTTGTGGATCGGTAAATCTCCTAAACACACTGATTCGAGTGGATGATATGTGCCGACTTGCGGTTACTGGTGATCGGATCATAACAGTACTAACTCGTTAGTAACCGGATGAGTAGTCAATCTGATATTGAAGTTCATCCTATAATTCACCCATTCTACACCCCTAATGCGTGGGGCATGGAGACTTTAATATTAATATATAGCATATACAAGTCAAGAGTCACAGCACGTTCAATACAAAAAGTTCTATTTGAGCCTAACTATACTCCCTCTCTAGATATGACAGAGAGGTCTGTGTCTGTGTTATATCAGGTTTATTAGTTGTGCCAGTGTAGTCCAAGAGAGGCTGTCACGTATTGTTTTTGAGGTGCATATTCTATTGCCATGCATGATACTCGTTGATTTGCTGGCTGGGATGGGACCGGTTCCTGTACGAGGATGGACGTGGGCTGGAGTTGACTAGCAATTTTATATTGCCATATTGGCGGATTTGCAGTAGCTAGGATGCATTAAAATTTAAATGCTGCTTTATTTTTAGAGTTTGATCATATTTTCGATCCTTTGATGGCTGATGAGTGAATGATGACAATATGGTCTCAGGTCAACTATTAGCCAATACAAACCAGGCATCAACGCACCACCCCTTCGATTTACAAACATTATAAACGTATGTACTGTACAAACAATACAAACTAGATTGACAAACAATACAAACCATACAAAAAGAAAAAACAACCGGGTTGACTTTGGAGGCTCCATCCCTATATAGAGGGGCTCCTTCCCAAAGTCAACCCGGGTGTTTTTTAGACATACAAACAGTACGAACATGGTGGACAAAAATGACAAACTAGACCGACAATCCATACGAACTGGAAAAAACACCCGGGTTGACTTTGGAGGCTCCATCCCTATATAGAGAAGTTTCATCCAAAAGTCAACCAGATTGTTTTTTAGACATAAAAAACATTACAAACCTGGTGCACAAAAATAACAAAGTTTACAAACATTACAAAATAACAAAGCGTACAAACATTACAAAATAACAAAAGCGTACAAACATTACAAAATATGTAAACAAACATCACAAAACACTGTCGCCAGAAAATTCTTCTCCGTCGATGATGGTCGTCGGAAAATAAATTTCCGACCAAAAAATCTCTCGTCGGAAAAAAAATTTCCGGCCAAAAAATCTCTCTCTCTCTCTCTCTGCCTGCCAAAAATCCCACCGCCAAATAAAGAGATCTCTCCCTCCCTGTTTCGTTGGCGAAACTCGCGTGTTCAATGTGCACTGGTTTCAAGTAAACACAAACACAAAATCAGCAAGAATCGTCAAATATCCGCCGCCGGTGTCGGCGTCGTTGATTTGATCGACTAAAACAGAAACAAAGACGACCGTCAAATATCCGCCGCCGGTGTCGGCGTCGTTGATTTGATCGATACACCCTTGACTTCTAATCAAACAACCGTTATTCGGTTCACCACCTCTCCAAACTACATTCGAACGAGGGTGTTCGGCGAATAACCAGAAAATCGAACAAGGAGTGTTCTAAGTTACGTTAACTCTACTCCTATGGAGGTTCCTCTGGAGAGCTCCGCAACTACGACTACGATCTACAACTACTACGACTCTGCAAAGGAGGTCTTTGACAGAGCAGTTCTACGAACTAGAGAGAAAAAAGATAAATTCTGCGATGGTGCAGTTGTGATTTGATTTTGCCGTCCCGAACTTCTCTCTCTTCCCAATCTTTATACTTCGCGCTTCTCCTCGTCGTAGTAACTGCCTTCGCGCCTTTGTCTCCCACGTCTTCACATCTGTCAACCGTGCAGGTAACTTCCTCCTTGTTGCGTAACTCCCACGAGTGCGAAACCGCTTGAGCACGTGGCAACTTGGTCCAAAACGACACTGAGCCGAAATCCACCATTGCTGAACTCTCGTCACTGCGACGATGTTTTTAATTAAACACCATCGTTTCAGTACCGACGGTGTCGACTTCTCCTACGATGTCGTTTTCGGCTAAAGCGACACCGTCTTAACTGATCCTTAAAATATTAATTAATTAAACCGGCCATCATTGTTGACACGCTGTCAAACTCTCACTTCGCGGCGCCGTTAGTAATTAAACAGCATCGTTTTCTATTTCTGCGATGCTTGAATTTTGCGATGCCGCTTTAACTTTAACGCTGTCGTTTTAACAACTGCGGCATCGTTTGGCCCCTTCGCGGCATCGTCTTTAAATCCGCGGTGTCGTTCCTTCCCCTTGCGGCATCGTTTTCAACTAACGACACCGTGCTAAGAAGTCATTAAAATATTAATTAACTAATCTGACCATCACTAGTCCACGACCAACAACATCGTTAGCGCCAAAATGGCTCCGTTTGTTTTTCCTTTTGCGACATTGTTTTTTTATTAAACACTGTCGTTTGCTTGTATAGCGGTACCGTTGGGCTTCCTCGCGGTACTGTTTTTAATTCCGCGGCACCGTTTTAACTCCCCTCAGTGCCGCTTCTTCCCATCCAACAAGGAATAAAAATAATAATTAATTAGATAAAACGCATTCTCCAATACCTGCGCACGGCCCTCTTATTTTTCGGTAAGCGGTGTCGTTTGCATACCGCGGCACCGCTGAGCTTCCTTGCGGTACCGTTTTAGTTCTCCGCGACACCGCTCTACTCCCAACGATACCGTTTTTTACGAGCGGTATCAACTTAAATGCCGAGACTAATTAATGTGGCATTTAATTCCGGCCAAATTAATTTTAGGTGTCAACAAATGCCCCCCACAATTTGGTTTATAAGAATTATGAACCAAATTGTTTACACAATTTAAATCACTTAAAATACCTTGTGAATCATGCAGACCAAACCCAAAACAACCATGTTGGCAAAATTATGTGATTTGCCAAAACAAAGTGATGGCCACGCAAACCAATTCTCCTCGGTGCTGCTCAAACCCATACATAATTATTTTTGTGGAGTTCTCATTACCTTGTGTATTCCGTCCACGACGCTGCATCAGCCCTGCAATGCTGCGGCTAGTTTATTTTATTATTTTTTTTTCATGATTTGCCGCGAGAGCTGTTGTGGCAGGCCTGAAAAAAAATTTCCTCTTCTTTCACGGTTGGGGAAACCACGGCAGCGCTGCATGATTAATTAATTTTTTAATTAAATTTTTTTTTCTTTTCCGGGCTGTTGGGAACAGGCTGGAATTTTTTTTCTTCTTTTCCGCCAGAGCTGGGGAAGCAGCGGGCAGAACTGATTTTTTTTTCATAATTTGCCGCCAGAGCTGTTGTGGCAGGCCTGGAAAAAAAATTTTCCTCTTCTTTCACTGCTGGGGAAACCACGGCAGCGCTGCATGATTAATTAATTTTTTTTTTATATATTTTTGCGCTACCAGTGCTGCACACCACATGAGAATATATATTTTTTTTCTTTCCTTTCTCATCAAGGAAAGCAAACAAATCTCTATCCCTTTCCTGCGGTGGAAAGGCTTCAAGTATCCTTTTCCATACCGGTTTGGGCATTTACTCTCATTCTCTATAAATAAATGCTACCCTCATAATTCCCATTCATCACCGTTGAATTTCGGCAAAGCTCCCCATCTCGCCATCGATTCTTCCTCGAGCACGCAACTCCAACCTCTCCACCCCCAAGGCCCCACCATGGCTCCTGGCGGTCGTGTACCTCCTCAAATCCGGTACTGAATTTTTCACGCCACTCTTTTCTCTCTCTTTTTTTTCGGCGCCCTTATTCCCTGTTTCTTCCTGATCATTCAAGCCTGCCTGTGATGTGTATATGTTATGCAACTTGGCATATGACCAATGTAAATTACTCGTACCTTTTCATTCCTGCTAGCCGATGTTTGTGCTTTACTTCCTGTGCGGCATGCCTCTATCTTTGCTGCTTTCCTTGATTATTCCATGCATGCTCCATACGTGAACCGCTATGTACCCAACTGCCCTGTCTTTCCTTAAATTGAATTACTCCCCCGCCTTTTAACTTTTACTTGTTGGCTTCTTCTCTTGACAGGCCCCCTCTAGTTGACCTCGCAGCTCACATATGCAGTAATGACGATCCATAGGAAAGATGGAGGAACCTGGATAGCTCTCACGCCATAGAACTTGACACCCTTTCACTAACAGACAAAGGAGAGGGGTTGCACGGTCCTGCTATCGTCAACCCCGGCGATCCAGCCATGGCCGATCTGAACATTTACCCCACCGCTCACGCTCAGCTACTCCTTCGTTGTTCACCCACTGACAATCCATACTTCACTCAACAAAAGCCGAAACGACCTCTATCTTCCTGGGTTCTCTTCGACAAGGACTTTATGAGATGGTATTCTCGCCTGCTCGCTGATGAAACCACTGCTGCTCAATGGAGGGACGCAGGCATAGATCGCTTCTTGTCTCTCTGCGCCAATCTTCCCCAACCAGATGTAGATCTATTCAAGGCTGCCATATGCTTCTGGTCCACCGAATCCAACA